ATTAGCTGGGTGTGGTGGCACATGCCTGTAGTTCCAGCTACTTGGAAGGCTGAGGTGGAAAGATCACCTGAGCCCAGCAGCAGGCTGAGGCTGCAGTGGCCGTGAGCATGCCTGGGTGACAAAGTGAGACTCCAACTCAAAACAAACAAAAAAAGAGGTAGAACTAGATCTCTACATAGAAAGCTGCCTGGTAATTTTTTTTTAACTAAATAAAAATCATGACTCTTGTTTTGGCAAAATAGATACACATGTAGGAAAAAGAATATAAACCAAATTAACAGTGTTACCTTGGACAATGGGATCACCAATGACTAATCTGTATGTTATACCTTTTTTGGAGAGGGGGAGGGAGTCTCTGTCACCCAGGCTGGAGTGCAGTGGCACGCTCACAGCCATCACAGCCTCGACATGCTGGGCTCAGGTGATCCTTCTGCCTCAGCCTTCCAAGTAGCTGGAACCACAGGTGTGCACTACCACGCACAACTAATTTTTGGATTTATTGTAGAGATGAAGTCTCACCATGTTGCCCAGGCTGGTCTTGAACCCCTGAGCTCAGGCAATTCTCTTGCCTCTATCTTCTAAAGTGCTAGGATTATAAGCGTGAGTCACCATGCCTGGCCCTCCATTTTTTTTTTTTAAACAGTGAGTATCTGTTACTTATGTTAAAAAAATGTTTTGTTTTTTTTTTGAGTTGGAGTCTTACTCCGTCACCTGGGCTAGAGTGCAGTGGCACGCTCATGGCCACCCCAGCGTTGACCTGCTGGGCTCAAGCAATCCTTCCACCTCAGCATTCCAAGTAGCTGGAACTACAGACACACACTACCGTCCCCAGCTAATTTTTTTATTTATTGTAGAGATGAGGTCTTGCCAAGTTGCCCAGACTGTTCTTGAACCCGTGTGCTTAGGCAATCCCCTCACCTCAGCCTCCCAAAGTGCTGGAATTACAGGCTTGAGCCACTGTGCCCAGTCAAAAAATATTTTTAAGCATTATTTCCCAAGACCCAAATACATAGCAATTAAAACAAACAAAAAAACCGGCAAGCATATTAGCCCTTCATTTCAGCAGTTATTTTCCACTGTTAGTTCTCTGCCTCAATTATGAAAGTTTTTTTGTTTGTTTGTTTTGTTTTTTTTGAGTTGGAGTTTCACTCCGTCACCCTGACTGGAGTGCAGTGGCCGCTCCCGGCCACCGCAGCCTCGACCCACTGGGCTCCGGTGATCCTTTCGCCTCAGCCTTCGGAGTAGCCGGAATTACAGGTGCGCGCTACCACGCCCAGCTGATTTTTGATTTATTGTAGAGAGGAGGTCTCGCCAAGTTGCCCAGGCGGGTCTCGAACCCGCAGGCTCAGGCAATCCACTCACCTCAGCCTCCCAAAGGCACAGGATTACAGGCTGAGCCACCGAGCCCGGCTATGAAAAATTTTTTTTTCATTAATATGCTAAATAAACTTGAAGTAAGGGAAAGAGTAACATGCTTATAAAATGTAGGTAGGAATTCATAGCTTAATCCTTCCTAATGATTTTTTTTTTTTTTTTTGAGTTGGAGTCGCCCTCTGTCACCCAGGCTGGAGTGCAGTGGCACGCTCACAGTCATCGCAGCCTCAACCTGCTGGGCTCAGGTGATCCTTCCACCTCAGTCTTCCAAGTAGCTGAATCTACAGGCATGTGCCAACATGCCAGCTAATTTTTTGATTTACTATAGAGACAAAGCCTCATCAAGTTGCCCAGGCTAGTCTCGAACCCCCGGGCTCAGGTAATCCTGTCACCTCAGCCTCCCAAAGTGCTGGGATTACAGGCCTGAGTCACCACACTCAGTCTTCTAATGACTTATAATTGACCTACTGGATGAGGACACCAGATAATTATTTAGTTTGAGATATAAGTAAAAGGTACATCATAGATTTATGAATGACTCTTGCCAGCTGCTACTGGCTTGTTATCCTTACTATAACACAAATAAGTACTGTGTTTGATTGCTGAGGAGATGGATTTATTACTGAACAAATGGCTGGTCTCCAAGACAGGAGACCAGGGTCCCTATCTTGCCTCAAGCTTCGGTGGTGCTTGGCCTAGAGTGTGTTAAGTGAAAGTTAAATGAACTTCCCTGGGCTTGTTTTTCACATGCTAATCAAAATAAGCTCAAAGGGTCTTGCCACCCATAAAAATCCCAAGACTCTAAAGGATAACTTTTCTATTTCTCTTTGTTGCAGCAAATCACACCTACAGACACCAACAATAGTGGTACAGAGCTCAAACTAATCCCCTCTGCAAGTACTCAAGGCATTTGAGGCAATTTAAGAACACTTTACATATAAAAAAGATAGAAAGCTTTTCTTTAGTGTACCTTCAGGTAATCAGGCAGTGCTAATTCCCATCCCACCAAAAAACAAAAACAGGAAGAAAAAATTAAAACGACCAGTGGATTAACATTGCAGCTCTCAATCTTATTAGAATATATTTTATAACACTAAAAACCTGACAAAGTGGCAAGTTTTACTTTAGTCAAACACTGCCCAGAAGAAAAGTTCAGGAGGTGCAAAATTTACAGCAAAAAGCAAAAAATAAAAATCAATTCAACCAAACAAAGAAAACAACAGAACAGAAAACCATGTGCTCCAATAATCCTGAGTCTGAAGGTCTCTCTTCCCTTTAATTCCAATGCAAAGGGACTGTTAATAACACTGGGTGCTGCCATGCTTGCATCAAGGAACAATACTCACAATAATAATCAGGCGCTCCTTTCACCTTGAGAAAGGGGTTTTCTTTCCCAAAGATTCAGACACAGTAGCCAATTCCTCCATGAGGGTGGAGAAAGGGGCCTCTTCTTGAAAAATAGAGAAAGAAGAATCTTTTAACAAGATCTCAGGACACCCCGAAAGTGAGGCAGGGAAGTTCATAAACTAAACAGGGCCCAGCACTTCAACTTGGAGTGTGCAGGAAATCTTAAAAGAAAGCATCAAGGACTATTTCCCTCTTCCTCCCTTTTTAGCATGCCAAAAAAAAAAAAAAAAAATCCCTGTGTCCCCATATGAGTGAAGCAGTGAAATGTTCCTGATTTCTGACAAAGGCTCCCTACATAAAAGATTTTCATCTCTTTCAAAGGAAGAGAAGAGTGTGCTACCCTAGAAGCACAGGAAAAGAGATCTCTCCTCAAAGGTACAGAATCTTACTTTTCTTGGGAGAGCAGAGGGAGGAAGGAAGAAGTCGATATTGCCCTTAGGGGGTGAGGGATGTGTAAATGGGAGAAAGTTGGGGTTTTTTGTTTTGTTTTGCGGGGGGTTGGTCACAGAGCAAGTCAGGGAAGTGGGAAAGGACATTTTAACCAGTTCAGAAAAAGAAGGGATAGCTTCTGTGGATAAAGGAAAGGCTGGATTCTGGCATCAGGATCCCACCCTCTTAAGAGTACAGACCTGTTTCCTAAAGCTAGGTCTTTTTTCCTGGTTATTTTTAATGAGGCCCTCTTTGTTAATTTGCAGAGTAGTGTATGGTAGGATCCAAGGAGAGTGGAAGAATCTCCTTCTCCCACCCCAGGGATGAGGGAAGTCTTCCTCTCCTGTGAGAAAGGATGGGTTCAATACTTGTGATGGGGGTGAGAAGGGCATGAATGAAAAAACTCCTTGTGTAAAATATTAGCTTTCTATTCTTTTTTTAAAATAAATTAAGTAATAATAATAGCAATCATTTGCCAAAAGCTTACTATGACTAAGCTTTACACAAATGCTCCCTTAGCCCTCATGACAATTTTAAGAGTATCCAAATTAAAAATGAACTGAGACTGAGAGAAGTTAAGTAATTAGTCAAGGTCACAAAGCTGTTTCGTGGGAGACACAGGCTTGCAACTACCACTCCAAAACCCATGCTTTTAATTGTGCAAGGGAAAGGAGCTCACCAAGAGATCTAAAGGGAAGAAGAGAAGCGAGGCTCCCTCAGTGGATATGATGGGGGGAGGGGGAGAAAGGCTGACTTCTGATACCATAAAGTAATTTCAGGGTCTTCCTCTCTATATCTTAGGGTGAAGGTGAAAAATAAAGGAGGAAGGAAGTCTCTCTTACAGGAAAGGAAGATTCCCTCTGACGCTTTTAAGCATAAGTTTGGAGTTTCACTCTTCTCCTTGGGAGTGCTAACCAACGTCGGGGAAAGGTCTAATTTAGGGGTTATCTCTTATCCCTCCTTAGGATAAATTCAGAATCCCCCTCTCGCACCCTGGAAGTGGGTCTTCCTCCGCTGACAAACGGATGGGAGCTGGAGAAGAGCGTCTGCTCACGACAAGGGGCGTCATTCTCTCCCCGAAGTTGGGGGAACCCTGTTGTATCGAGGTTGAAGAAGAGTCTCTCTCCCCCGCCAAAGCCATGACTCGGAGAAGCCGTTTTCCCAAGCGACGCGGGGCCTGGTCTCCTCCCTCTCCCTGGTCGTCCCGCCGCCCGCAGCGCAGCCTCCGTTCCTCTCAGCGCCCCGAGAGGGCGGGGGCGCCCGGGCTCCCCTTTAGCCAGCACCGACGGGCGGAGGGCCCCCTCAGGGCGGAGTGGGGCTGGGCGGCTACGCCCGAAGCCTTCCCCCTCCCGGCCTCTTACCCTGAGGCCTGCTCCGCGGCCCGCGCTCTCCCCGCCAGCCCGACCCCTGCAGCTGCAGCCGGGTCGCCGCCAAGTCTACCTGAGCTTACGGAGCCAAGGGAGCCTAGGGGCGCTCCGGCCGCTGTCGCCTCTTCGTCTCTATGGTCCCCTGCACTTCCTCATCCGGGGCCCGAGCCAGCCATGCGGACTCGCCCAAATCCCGCCCCCGCACCGCGCGCGCGCACGTCACCGCGCGGCTCTTCCCGCGTCGGACCTTCCGCCCTCTGCGAGCCCCAGCCTCCTTCAACCCCGCTCCTGCGGCTCAGACTCTTAAAGGGAAACACACCTTTGGCTCTGCTGCTGCCGAGCCGCGCGGGATCCAGTGCCTGTCTCCACTGGTACCACCCTGGTCCAGTCCACCGTTTTTCTGACCCGGACGGCTGCAACTCTAGAGGCCTCCCTGCCTCCACTCTGGCAGCCCAAGAGATTTTAAGATTAGTAGAGCTGCCGGGCTCGGTGGCTCAGCCTGTAATCCCGCGCCTTTGGGAGGCTGAGGTGGGTGGATTGCCTGAGCTCGCGGGTTCGTGACCCGTCTGGGCAACTTGA